CAGACGTCTGATATGTCACTACTAGATAACGTATGTCTGAGGTTTATCAATTCTTATACGAGTTAAATCTGATAAAAGAATACAGTGCCAAGATGCGGGAATATTTCTGGGGTAAATCGCAATATTTATAACAATTAAGTGTCTGACATCATCGACTAATCATTTAATCGAATATATACCTCATAAAGCACCTGGGCTTTGTCTGATGTGAGGTGTTCAATGCATTGACAAATGCGAATCTTATTTTAAATTATTAGAATCGTCTTACTAGCTATCATAGAAAGAAACAATATTGAGCATGGCAGGTATTATCGATCAGTCGTTGAGCATTGACAGTCTCTGCATTTATAACACAATCTCTTAAGAGCGATCAAGTTTACTGGGGTGGAAGTCTCCAAAAAAATGGTGCACTTCAAGTTATTGTATAATATCAATATTAAGTTATTACATGCTGGGACTGCATACATTAAATCTAATACGCAAATGTTATACTCACTGCAATCTTTGTACCGCCGTCTACCTTCTGTTGCCAAGACTCATTCAATTCTGATGATGTAACGTCACCAACCGCCACAGCTCGAACGTATGACATTCCCTATACGACGAATCTTGTGTTACTTAAGCGCATGTTGTGTGACAAAATTTGTATTATCTAAGCGCATGTTGTGTGACGAAACTTGTTATCTGAGCAGCGCATTTTATGTGACGAAAATTGTGTTATTTTTGTGTATCATATACGACGGAACTTGTATTATCTTAGTGTATCTTGTATGACAAGTTTGTGCATCGAACCTGTGATTTATTTGTCATATTGATTGAATGATTGTGTTGCTTCCTCATTAAACTCTACGAAAAATTAGTTGTTTTGTGTCAATAATTATACCCTGATATTTATGGTACATTCTGTACATTATTAATTAATTACCTTATTAATCATTCATTGGTGCAACCGAATTGATTGCTTAACATAAGCCAATCATAAACATTGTATCGTAAAATATTTCTATTTATAGCAGCTTCGGAATGATTTGCTCAGGGGTGCAATTGGCAAGTGACCATTGGACGTTATTCTGTTCATTCGTAATATTATTGAGCGTATCTATAAGACTGCATTTATAAATCAGTGAATTGTGAGATTAAAAATGCCTCATGCGGGAATATCGCTTAATTCCCGCAAGTCTTTTGCTTGAATTCTCACAAATATCACAAATTAAAAACCCCGCTGAATTCTCACAAATATTTGGAGTCAGAAAGCGCAGTCAGAGAAAAGAGCGAAACTTTGTCCAAATAGCGCCCCAGCTTTTACCTAGTGTGGGTCATTCAGACTCAGTTTGGCTCTTCGTATTAATTCGCTGTGAAAAACTGTGTCATTATTTGGATAACCTGAACTATTAATTTTTTATTCTGACTGGATGTATCATCGGCCTGCTAAGCAACTTGTTCAAGGAAGGAACCGCGTCGACGATTATCGATCTCAATTTAATTAGACTTCAATTTTAGATGTCAATTTAATTAGAATTTTAATTCTTTTGAGCGGTGAGAGGAGTTCGAGGTAAAGGAGGACATCGGCACTTCGAGGTTCTTGCCTTGCTGCAAGTCTTTTATCAGATGACGCAAGTGTTTCTGTAGGTTTCACAAGTTTCTGTACTTAAATAGTTAAATTGACCGTATTTCCACTGAACAGAGAAGCCGCGTGATAGGTAAACAAGTGTTAAGGTGTGGAGTTATTTTAATCAATTACCTAATCGATTTTCGAGAACAAATCATTTCCAATGAACTGAAAACAAAGCCTCGCTCTCTCGCTGTAAACATGATGACCGCGTCAGCGTGACTCACTCCGGCGAGTTTCGATTTCGAGAAAATCTTCTGCACGTGCCTCTGGCATCTTCTCAGTTGTCTCAGGGCAGTTGTCTTTTGATAACAAAATAAATGATAGAGATTTTTTGATTACAAGAATGAAATGTTAGATGATTTTTTGATAACAAGAATAAAATTTTAGATGATTTTTTATAGCAAGAATAAAATTCTAGATGACTTTAGATAACAAGATTAAAACGTTATCTATTTTTTTGCTGACAAGAGTAAAATGCTAGATGATTTGTGAGAACAAGAATAAAAAGCTTAATACTTTTTAACAAAAAGCAGCTGAGTCGCTAAGAGCTCAGGCTATAGAATTTCTACTGAATTGTTAGTTTCCCGTTGATGTTTAGACTTGAACTTTCGTTTTTTATTGCCAACGTTACGTTAAAAAACAGGGTAAAACAAAACTGATATCTTTAAAGCCGATATTTATACTCTTCAAGATGACGAGTCGTTTATGCCACAGTCGTAAAACGTATCCTCTTATACCACTCGACACATGCTTTTTTTAACATACACGTATAAAAATACCTAGGTTATTAATACGCAGCTATGTTATTCAACGAGTATTTTAGGTATAATTAACGGACCATATCCACGAGCTCTCTTTTAATTAGGGTAACAGAAATAGGCAGCGCGGACTGAGCCAAGACTCTTTTGTCTTCTCAAGAAGACTTTAGTCCTCGGATTGTTTGCACGCGCGTTTTGATAGCCTGCCAATCCCCTCTCCCCTGACGCGTACGGTGCTGCATCGAATTTATGTCACTCGATTGCGTGAATCCAAAAATTAACTTGAAATGTAGAAAACTCCACAAAAATTCACCGTATCTCTGTTGAAAACGTTGTTAGGGTTTTATAGAGCACGTTTTCAATAGAGATTTTTGATGATCTTTTTTCGATTTTAAATTCCCAGCACCGTAATTTCATAACCTGATAGCAGCGGTTCACAAATAATGTTGACTATTGCGCAATAAAAAATGCTAGAAGAAAATAACATTTACTGATACCATAAATGTCATAAAAATTAGCGTATTACATCTACTACTAAGCTTGTTAATAATGATATTTATATTTAAATTATTGACCCGCAAATACCCGCGAAAAATATATAAATTAATGCTGTCTGAGAGCCATTACCTCTGCAGAGAGTCGACCTTGACGATTTATTACCTCATGTGGTGCTCAGTCTGTGGCGTCAGTAGGCCTATTTTAGGGGGCTTCAGCCCCTTAAAATATTTTTAAGCATTCATAAATAATTTTAGGTTCAGTTATTAGAATTATTATAATGCAAAAAAAATCTATGTAAAGTGGGCCAGATATGTTGATGCTGTTAACATTAATTACTTCCTTTGTTTCTTGTTGTACTATAGTAAAGATTTGTGTTGGCTTATTGTGAAATTCAACGCGTCTGTCCTTATTGAATCATCACCGCAGTTAGTACCCGACCCAGTAGAATCGTTACCTCAGCACATGCCAGAACCTGGAGAATCATTACTTAAGGTGATGCCCGACCGTAATAAATCATTACTTTTATATTCTTGTCTTCTACTGCGTGCATATCGATGAACGATAACCTTGCTAGAAAGATAAACACGTAAATGTTATCAGGAGATAAATCGNTTGTCTTCTACTGCGTGCATATCGATGAACGATAACTTTGCTAGAAAGATAAACACGTAAATGTTATCAGGAGATAAATTGTGCGTGCATTGATCGTGGCTAATTGTTCGCACTACTGAAGGTATACAGAAGCATGGTTATTAAGAATAATCTGTGTTATTAATTTGAGTGCATTTGTATATCACAGCATATCACATGAAACTTAACAACTAATAAATTTCATTGGATAGAACAGCATATCACATGAAACTAAACAACTAATAAATTTCATGTGATAGAACAGCATATCACATGAAAGTAAATAACTGATTAATTACTTAATTAATTCCTATGTTCCGTCTCAAGGTGAACCTGAAGTTATATGAGCAGGGAACACTAATTTCTCCGTCCAGACAATAAAAAAATATAACTCAGAACTCACTGCAGTGAGTGACAGAGAGCGTATTTTCTCGTCGACGAAAACGTGAAGTCACGGACGGACGGACAGACGGACGGACATGGCGAGCACAATAGTGCATTTTTCAATAAATGAGAAAATGCGCTAAAAATATTTTCATCATTGTAATAAAAATGCTTCATTTCTTCAGGCAAATCGGTGATCGACCTCGTGACTGCGAGGTCATTGGGTGGCCTCGAGTCAGAGTGCAGTGATTCATGAATTTATTTTTGTCGAGCTTTTTTTTTGCGTCATCGCACGTACTCACACTCAAATTCTAGAATGTCTTCTGTTTTAATTTTGTCATCCCTTCATCTCCTCTCAAATCTATAAATTACCCACCGATCAAACCGGAAAATTTCTTCGGTAATTAAAAATCTGTAGGCTCTGCCCTGGCTCCATCGCTTTATCACTAGCGGTGTCCGAGGTCGATCGGTTTAATCTGTTTAAGTTCTTATTTTGCATCAATACTTGCACGCGATGAAAAGTCTAGAAATACATGTATGAAAGAAGTGAGAATATTCGAGAACTGTATCCTACCGCAACCAAAATTAACAACATTTATAATTTGGTCTCAATTTCTTATAACGAAGGATATTGTATAGCTAATTTCAGTTCATTCGACGATAATAATAGTTATAGTTTTTATTAGTATTATAATTAAGTTATTACTCAGACAAGTACGGCACGAATAATTTTTTAAACTTTGCGAAGGTTGAAGATATCATCGAGACCGCTGTTTTGTCACATGTGAGTCTCTATATGAGGTAGCTAAGTGAATTTTCTCATTTTAAACAATAATACGCACCATTTACACAACAACGACACAGATAAGACGCATGCATATGATAAAGCATCTAATTTTTTATGACAAGATTGATACCAACGTACCTCTGTAGAGCGTATCGGTTTTCAATCCTTATTAATTTGTTGTCGCAACTTGTTGATGATACCAGCAGGGAACGCACAATATCGAATAAAAAAGCGGGCTTGGCAGCTCCTCAGCGGCCGGTTGGCAAGGCGTCAAACGACCGAGTGATGAAGGAAAGATGTTGGTGGTTCTTCAGTTGTTCGCTGACCACTGAGCAGCTTCGTTGCGTTCGAAATCGCCTGTTTCTACTTCCTACTAATCTCGCACCGTGAGAGACAGTGTGATTACAATAATCAGTAAGCCATGACTGCATCGCGCATGGCAAAAATTCTTTGTTGTCGCTCTGTTTCAAAAGCCTTGAGTTCTCTCGACAGAAAGTTCGTATGGTGACCGTCTACCTCGAACTATTGGCTAGTGAAAATTATATTCTATACTGTTTCTCTTCAAATTCCTCATTTTGTATTACGAAGTATCTAAAACCCACCGTAATCATCAAAGGTTCATTGACACGGTATTATTTTTAGCCGAAATAATTTTGAAAATATCTATCTGGTCCCACGCTGATAATTTGGACTGATGGTTCTCATCAAACCAGTGTTGCCTTGTGACGACGATGGTGGTGAGATGTGTACTGAAGACATAATGGTAGTCAACGCTGAGAGTCTAGAACGAGAAGAAATTCGCAATAAAGTTTTCAAGAAGAAATATTACTGCAAGAATAACAAAAGAAAGAAACAGCCTCCATTTCCTGGCTCTGATGTATTTCGCTTCAGCGACTATGATTGCATTGGCTTCGACTTGGACAACACGATTTGTCGCTACAAAGTTGGTGAGATTATGAGGTTGGAGTACAGACTTATAGCTGAGTACCTAGTCGAGAGGTATGGCTATGATCAATCATTGTTACTGGGAGTCGATGATGACATGGATTTCTTACAGAAAGGCCTCATCATGGATACCAAACGCGGCAATTTTCTGAAGTGCACAGACCAAGGAGTTATTCTAAGAGCTACACACGGTACGCAACCCATGACAAGGGCTGCCATCTATGAGACTTATGGCAAAGACAAGATCTGGGAGCCGGTTCTTGAATTCAAAGACAGCTTGTATGACAACTCTCCCGGCTGTGCACGAATTCTGCGGTCCTTCAAAGATTACTTTGACATGCCAGCTGCCATTGCGTGTGCCAGAGCTATTGATATAGAAGACAGGTCACCCAACGGACCCCCCGCGGAATACGATGTGTGGCCGGATGTCCACGTAGCTCTATGCAACATGTACAGAAGGGAATACTTTCAAACTGATCAAGGTGGATTTTTCCCTGAAATAAAACAAAACCCGGGAAAATACATTTATGAAGCGTCCGACAGGCTGAAAAAGTGGCTAATGAGCCTCAAGGAACATGCATACACTTTCTTGATATCAGGATCCAGCATAGACTATGCGTCTCACACGGCAGAATTTGTGCTAGGGGAGGATTGGAGAGATTACTTCGACACGGTCGTGTGCACTGCCAAGAAGCCTCACTTTTTCAACACCAAAAAGCCATTCTTTAGTTTGAATGGACACTTGGACGGGGAAGAAGTTCCATTTGAGAACTTGCGTTTGGATGGCACGTATTCGGGTGGCAATTGGTCAGATCTGCTTGAGTTGGTTCGACGTGACTCTGGCTTGGAGAACCCACATTGTCTCTACGTTGGCGATCATCTCTGCCAGGACGTGATGACTCCACCTTCGGTCAAAATCGATACTGTGGCAATCGTAGAAGAGCTCGCAGCTGAAGGAATGTGTGGAGATCCTCTGGAACACGACGCCGGAGGTGATCTCATGAGCATGTTTTGGGGTTCCTTTTTCACGACGGATGGCAACAACAAGGTTATGGGCATCGATAGAATCAACACGATGTACGGCAGCGTGCCTGTGAGAGCTGCAAGACTGGCCATCCCTTGTTTGGAAGTGGTGGCCAGGAACAACATCAAGCATCAGTACGAAGCTTTCTCCCCAACCTCTACAGGATTCTATCCTGGAGATCCTGTGATACTACATTTTTAGCGCAGTAGTTCTAATCGTTCAAGTCCTTTATTTCTTAAGGCTCTTTTATAGTTCTCAGGATTTCCCCTACGTTTACGGATTAGGTTGTATCGCTAGTATTGTGTTGCTTACGATGATAATTGTTTTGACTGTTGTGTTGAAGTCACACGATGACTTTTATTAAACTTACTTTGCTATTGGTGCACAGCCTTGGGTCCTTGCCAATATTTTGCTCAAAACTTTGGCGTGCGTTACTTCTCGAACGCTCGGGTACGCACTTCTGTGACCACCACAGCTTCAGAATACCGACTACCTTTCTTTTCGGCCGTTAGTATAGAAACCATTCACTAAAATGAGCATTAAAATTCACTTATCGTCGTTCGGCTTAAAAATATTAATTTTAATGCTCAAGGACTCGCTGTACCGATACATTTTTGTTTCCTTGGTGCATTCGATAGTTGAATATCGGTAGGATTATCTGGCAAGTTTGGGGTATGAATAATAAATGATGGTGTATCATGCAGGTTTGGTCTAGATATTTTGGAAATGAATTTCTGAACTGTTCTCTCTTCTGTGGCCTTGCATGAATTTCGCATCGTTACATTTCAAAATATACCGTTTATTCAAACAATATTTCTTAGTCGTGTACTTGGTGCGTAATTAACATCGTTCATTTCGTTATCTCAATTACGATGAATCATCGGATTGCTCTATGTTCAGAAACGTCTTTCTTATGCAACTTTTCTTTTTACCAATCAGCTAAATGGTGACTTGTGCTTCCGTATTAAAAAAATAGTTTACAACATACTTAAATGGCGTCTCTGCCGTTCACCTGCAGCTATAATTGCAATTCAAAACCGAGGACCAAACTTTAAATCATTTCATTTCATATACACATATGCCTTTGCGTTGTTAAACAATGATATTATATCAACGAATAATTTATTGTTTCTTGAAAAATAAATTTATTGTTTCTCGAAAAATAAATTAATAAATAAACCCTTTCCGAAATATTCATATTCTTTTTCGCAAGTAATCGTTTACTAATAATAAAATTTCAATCATATTTGTGATCGACTAGATTTAAATGAACACTGCATGTCGCTAAAATTGCCCACTGAAATTACTTACATTGTCCAATAATTAATTGAAAGTAAACCAATTACAAATGAAGATCACTTACTATTGAGGCACCGAGAAGGAAATCACATGATAAACATTTAATGGATAGTATGTTTCTCTAGAAGATTAATGCATAGCTACGTATGAAATTAATCATGCAGTTAAATGATATTCTCGTCCTTGATTCGAAGAGTGGACCGCAAATAAAGTTCATGATGTGAGATAGGAAATTGAAATGAAAATCTTAGTATTTTTACGCAATTCATTGAATTTTCACGCAATTTTTTCAACTTTTTGTGTTATTTTTGCAAATTTTTGAGGCGCTAGGTCAGGTTTGAAAACCTTATTTGTTTACAATGTGGTCTCTGTAAATAAGTTCGAAGATCACCCGTCTGGTGATACAAATGTGAATATAATTTGGTAGGCTACAGACAAAATAAATACAAGCTTTGATCTCTTAGTGACGACTCATCAACACTGTTACGTGAAAGAACTGTGATGGTTGCCTAATCGCCAATCGGCCTTATTGTTATTGTTATCGGCCTAATATTGATCTGCCAAAGCCTAATCGCCAATTGGCCTCTCTTGATAAATTACTGATTAGCAAGAAATATTGACTTGATCTGGGATTAATGTTTCATGTTTGGTTAAAAATAATGCCAGTTTTATTGAGAACATCTTTTGAGTTTAATCTCTCAAGCTTTCTGATAAGAGGTACAGTAACAGGGTCAATAAGTCTTAAAATTTGTCCAAATGGAAGGTTAGGATACACGGTTGTGAACATGATTTTTGTATGGGGGATCTGAACATATTAATTTGTTATTATGTTTTTATAAATATCATTCATTGCCAGCGGTTATGAACATCATTGGCTGTTCACGTTTATATTAACATCTTTTATTGTTGCTGTTTTTTATTTGCTCATTGATAATGTTCTGAATGAAATATGTTCTTATTAATTATATAGACCGTTTGCTGTTCAATCTGGAGGACACGAGACTGTTTGATAGCTACATACAAATTTACAAATTGCCGGGTAGCATAATTTTATAATATAATTGTAAAGTAGCATTTATATTAATAAAAAAACATTTTTCTTTGAAATATTTTGCCTGCAGTACACTAAAGTTTTTTTTCGTGATGGCAATACTGTATTGTTGTTTAGATCATCCTATAGTATTAAGTCATTCGAGTGTAACATAACACACAGATGGCACGATTTGTCTCGATTTTTGGCGTTATATAATGGGTAACACTAAAAATAATTCTTAATTTTACGCCTTCATCTTCCAATGATTACGTGCTGATAATGATGTTATTAAACCGTTATTTTCTCATAAATTCTATCGCCGGTGAAACTTGAGTCGCCACTATATTTACTCTACACCCTGTCGGCATCAGTGATGCTACGTTACTCACAACTGCATTCTGTTTCATGCATTTGAGTTATAAAACAAATACACCTCAAACTGAAATAATTCTCAAACTGTCTTATTCAATATTTTTTATCAAATATATCGTTTCTGTTTTGAGGCGGCGACTTAGCTGCACTGATGATGGCACTGTCGTACATGCAAAAAAATCTATGCGCGCTCAGAAGCTGATTTACTTAGTCTTGATGTTTGTTCGTAGTTTGGTTGCAAGTTTTTAGCGGTGACATGTTGATGATTAAAGAAATAAGGCAGAATCTTTCCATTGTTATTTTTAATAAACTCTAGTCCTTGATGCTTCGTTTCTCTAACCTGCAAGCATCGTGCATGTGACTTTCATTACAAACTAATTTGTAAGAAAAATTATTCAAATTATATTGATGAGCTTTAGAAATGTTGTCAGACTCTAAAAAATTGAATGAAAATGCATTACTGTCTCGTCTTATTTCTACAGCATTTAATTAAAATTGTTATAACCGCTTCAATTGTTCTTGTAAATATTCTTCCAGAGAAAATAAGCTCGCTTCAGCTCCATGAAATACATCCTACTTTTAACCTATTCAAAAAATTAAAGTCATCAAATTCAAACATATTCGCATATATAAATCAATGAACATTCGAGTGAACGGAAATCACAAGTGGTCTTGAAACTATTAGCGTGAGTGTAACTCATTTCGTCACGAAGACACTTATGGTCAGAGAATATAGGTGGCACTGAGACACATATGGTCACGGAATACATATGGCCTCTGAATACATATGACACTGAGGCACTTATGGTCTCTGAATTCATATGGCACTGAGACACATATGGTCACGGAATACATATGGCACTGAGACACATATGGTCAATGAATATATATGGCACTGAGACACATATGGTCACTGAATGTATATGGCACTGAGACACATATGGTCACAGAATATATATGGCACTGAGACACATATGGTCACAGAATATATATGGCACTGAGACACATACGGCCTCTGAACACATATGGTACTGAGACACAAATGGCTTCTGAATACATATGGCACTGAGACACATATGTTCTCTGAATTCATATGGCACTGAGACACTTATGTTCGCTAAATACATATGGCACTGAAACACATATGTTCTCTGAATTCATATGGCACTGAGACACATATGTTCGCTAAGTACATATGGCACTGAGACACATATGGTCACTGAATATTTTCGATTTGACCCTGAGACCGATAGAGCCCATGTGGTCAGTGACTTATATGAACATTAAATATAATTTTTAAAGCTGGGGTTCTGACAGAGCGGCTAGCTTCGCCAGTAGCCAGCACATGGTTGTAAGCTTGAACGCGCAGACGGTAGCGGCGGGCAATACTACTTGCAAATACTGCGACAAATTATCAAGCTACTGACTGGTGTAAACCATTGATGGGTCCGTCTTTGGCCAGTTTCCTCAGGCCAATAGTACGCTAAATAGTGGCGGGTTGTGTTTGAAAGTTTTACTGGCCGTCACTACTGTCCCTATTAACATTTAATTTACGTCGCAATCGTTGTCTTATAGTAGGGCGGCAAAACATGGCTTAAGTAATTATGAATTTCCACTGACTGGTTTTGCGCATTCAGCGCGTAACTCAGCTCTCTAAGCTGAGTTTTGCACAGCATCGCTCTAATGAGTTTTGCACAGCATCGAAAAATTATTCAAGCGGAAAGTACAAATAAATAGCGATTTGGCGCTATTCTCAGTGAGACCAGCATGACATTTTCTTAGTTATTAATTGAAAAATGATGATACGTATTCATTGTTTTTAATGATCTTTTGAGTACAGTTCAATTTAACATGATTTTTCCAATTTGTAATAATTATAATATCCCACCAAACAATTTACGAGCCCGTAATATTTAATTACGCATAAATTAATTGAATAACAATAATTTTAGCCGATGGCTTCAAAGTTTTGGATAGAGTTTTCTTGTGACCGGCGACTCATAGTCTGTTTCAACAATTTCGAACCATTATGTCGTAAAATTTCTAATTTGTTTTATCTCAAACTTTATTCTTCTTAAGTGAATACCTATTATTAAATAAATGAATTTTATTAAATAAATGCATTTAAGAGTGAAATATGGTCCCTTCTGGAAGAAAATTCGAGTATCTCGTCCTAGCGTTCTGACCTCCCATGATGCCATCATTCATTGTTGAATTAATTAATGTATTAATTCAACCATGCCATCATTGGTCGCTGAAGAGGAACGAGTCTCTTGTCGATGCGGCCCTTTCGCTGAAGAAGCAGCTAAATACGTAGCAACTGAATTTCTATCTCGCTCTCCATAATGTTTTAGATCAAAACAAGCGCTAATATCACTTGATTGCTTAAATTTCAAATCAACAAGGAATTTAAAAGCAAAGAAGATGGTACAGAAATTAAATATATCGCTATGAAGAAAAGACCTTCCGAGTCCAGAGCTCCATCATCAATTCGACAGTCATAGAAAGTGGTAAATACGATCAGTTGATATAAAAAAATTCACAGTCAGACACTAAAACCTAAAATTGTCGAAATAAACGACGGATCAACCTGAAATAACACCGCAAGACTGGCTTGTCTAAAAACATCAATTATACTCGTACATACTGCGCTTAGCGATTTTAGATTCCGCGTGATTGGCGAGTTTAATGAGTTGAAATACACTTTTGTTTAAATTTCATAACAGCTGAACGTACCGAACAAAACAAGAAATCCTAATTGCGATTACTTGATGAAAAATCAAGCAATCATAAAATATGACACTGAACTTCTTACAAGCTCTGGGGTCCACCTTTTCTGAAAGATATTCGTCCGAGGCCTTACCAAAGCCTTGGGATCTGGCAAGTCCTTCATACCCATCACAAACAATACGTTTACATTAATAAAATTACTAGAAAAAAAAATTTTACATGATACATTTTTTCGTTCATCTATGTATAATTTTTGTTATTTTAAAATTCTCATAATTGTAAAAAATCATCCTGATATTTGAATCTGACATGTTATAGAAGGTTGCTCAAATAAAATACTTAAAACCACTTAACAAGTATATTCTCTTTATCGAGACCACACATTACTTCTTGTAGTATGCGTAGACTTTCAGCACTAAAGCGTGTTTTTTCAGTCGTTTTTTTTTTTTCTCATGACCATGAGGTCGTGTCGTAATGTTTTTGTCTAGATGGCTGGTATAATTTCTGCTCATCAAGTTGTTCTAGATCCGCGTTTTCGTTTTTAGATTCATTATAGAAATTGAGTGTTTTAAATTTTTGTTACTGGTTGAATGTTTGCAGGGCGCTGATGATGATGAACGTTAGTTAACTTGGCTAGTTTCACAACTCGCTAAGTTAGGTGGTAGGTGTGTGGTGAGGCGATGAGGGCAGTCAGCAATACTCAGCAGTCAGCAACTCA